TCCCGTGGCGATGGGGGAATTGAGAAGCCCACAATTAAGCATATGGGCATTAAGATAATTGTCAGCTCTGTTGGCGGACGCGATAGAAGCCAGATGGGGAGGAATCGGCGCGCGCGACGGTTTGACGTTTTACCTGCCCGAGCTGCTCTGCCGCGGTCGTCGGGACGCGGTGGCGCGCGGCGCGGCCGTACGGGCCGTCTGCGCCCTCTAGCGAAACGCAGCCCCGCGCCGTGGCTCAGCGTTCCCAGTCGCCGGGATTTGGGGTTGGGTTGGGTTGGGTTGGTCTTCGGGCAACGCGTGGTCTCTCACCGCTCCCTCTCTCCTTGCCGGTAGGTCGGAGCGCACCGCGAGGATGGGGTCAGCCTCCGCGGGAGCCACTCGCTCGTGCCAAACCAGGTGCCGGTCCCACAGCTGCCCGTCCAGTCCGCCACGTCTCCGGATTTGAACCCGCCCCAGGACCCGTACAGGGGTGAGTACCACCAACCCCAGACACGCAGCCAGATATTTTTTTAGGGTGAAGGAGAAGTTACCTAGCGATTGAAGAGCAGGAGTAGCAGCTAGGTGTCCTGTGCCCCCTTCCACGGCTACCCAGCAACTGGAAACGTGGGTCTGGGCAAGATGCCAAGCTCTCTTGGTTCCCTGGTGAGGCCACATCTGGAATCTTGTGTCCAGTTCTGGGCCCCTCAGTTCAAGAAGGACAAGGAACTGCTGGAGAGAGTCCAGCGCAGGGCCACGACAATGATGAAGGGAGTGGAGCATCTCCCTTCTGAGGAAAGGCTGAGGAAGCTGGGTCTCTTTAGCTTGGAGAAGAGGAGACTGAGGGGGTGACCTCATGAATGTTTATAAATATGGAAAGCGTGACTGCCATGAGGATGGAGCCAGGCTCTTCTCAGTGGCACCCAATGATAGGACAAGGGGAAATGGATATAAGCTGGAACATAGGAGGTTCCGCTTAAACATGAGGAAGAACTTCTTCCCAGTAAGGGTAACAGAACACTGGAACAGGCTGCCCAGAGAGGTTGTGGAGTCTCCTTCTCTGGAGATGTTCCAAACCCGCCTGGACGCGTTCTTGTGTGATCTGATCTAGGTGGTCCTGCTGCGGCAGGGGGATTGGACTAGATGATCCTTTGAGGTCCCTTCCAGTCCCTAACATTCTGTGATTCTCTGTCCATTTTGTGAAATGCAGATCATGTCATCTACTAAGAGGTAGTGAGCGTGCAGGTGGAGGAGTCAAAATTTGCTGTAGGAGTTAAAAGTCTCACTGTCTTCCTACATCCTCACTTGCAGAAGCAGCTCAGGGTAAGGCCTGGTGCGCAGTTCCTACCGTGACGGTCTCCAGTGCCGTTGAGTTGATGTTCTGTAGACAGTGAACCCTCATAGAATGGGCTGGGACCTTCAAGATCATCTTGCCATGGGCAGGGACACCTGTCACTACACCAGGTTGCTCAAAGCCCCATCCAACTTGGCCATGAACACTTCCAGGGATGGGGCAGCCACAACTTCTCTGGGCAACCTGGTCCAGTGCTTCATCTCTTCCTAAAGGCAGAGGAGCAGAGCGAGACCTCAAAGCCTCAACCTGTTGAGGTGTTGACTTCAGCACTGCTTGACCGCTCGTCCGTGTGTTCTCTCGCAGGCATGCCGGCCGGGCTGCAAGGGCAGAGCGTCTCTTCGGGCAGCTCCGAAATCAAATCCGACGACGAGGGAGACGAAAACCTCCAGGACACAAAGTCTTCTGAGGACAAGAAACTAGAGGATGACAAGAAGGATATCAAATCAATTACTAGGTCAAGATCTAGGTAACAGTATATAATAGTGTCGCTTCATTTAATTCCTTTACTGGATTTTGATGAAGTGAACAGAACAGGAGGAAACTATGAGGTTTTTTCCTGGCAGGTAAAACCACAGCCTAAGCGGAACGGCGTGGATGTTCTGGAAGTACCGAGTGCCTTTCCGGTACCTGTATTCCAGGATTTCCTCAAATTCGAACAATTCACAAATTCGGACACGGAGCAAATTCTCCGCAACCTTAGCGAGAAATGAACGTTACGCTGAAACGTACCAATTGGGCTGTTATTCCTCTCTGCCTGTGCTTGCAAATTGGAATACAGGATGGAATTCCATCTCTTCCAAAAAAAAACGAGCCTAAGAGCTGATCACAACCTGCATCTGAGCTAACAAACCCTACGCTTTGCTTTTCCATCCGTTTTTAAGAAATTTGTCATTCCCACTCTTTCAATTTGTGTAAATCTCCAGGGCTCCGTAGGGTGGCGAGGTCTTTACTTGTTGGGCATGTTGTGTATAAATTTTTGGGAAGTATTAGCGAAGTCGTAGCTGGATCGTGTCATCTGGGAGCTCACGCCCGTGGGGAACGTGAACTCAACGAAGGTGAAATCCGGGCACAACCCTGCTTCGTTGAGGAATTTTTTTTTTGTTTCAAGCTGAGCGGCAGCGTCCTTCTGCCTTTTGTCCTTCTCGGAGCGCGCCGAGACTCGGAATGTCTCGGGTTGAACCGTTAATTCCGTTCCCGTCTCTTAGGGCTGGAGAAAACAGATGACACTCAAGATTTTTCTCTGAATAGTTGAAGTAACCATATGTATAAAAATGAGACTTCGCTCCGCGTAGACGGTACGGTAAGAAGAAGGTGGTCGTAGTTCGGTTCATGAAACAAATCGCTGTCGCTGATGCATATTTAAATGAGCTTTGAAGCTGTCGTAGGCTGATGGGTTTTGCTTTGAACGTGCTTGCAGCTTGAAAAGGTTCCTCCTGGTACGTAGGTCTACGTCTAAATCCGTGTTGTTAGGGCTGCTGAGAATTTACGACTCCGTTTGCATAACCAGTTGGAATTATGTAGTGCCAGTGACTCACCAGTGGGTGTGGTTTCAATTTCAAAATCATCCTTTTTAGCTGGGTAAGAAGCAGTTTGGTTGCAGAAAGGATGCAGAAGTTCACTGTAGGGCTCTACACAGCCATCAATGACTTCCATGGCTCTTTGGCCACGTGTGTTTCGGTGCGCCGCGCAGGACCTGGGGTGCTGCCTGCCCCCGTGGCTTCCCACTGCCCAGGAGGACGATGGATCCTCACCCTCATCCTCAGCGGTGGAGAAAGTTTCTTCCAAAACCCAAATGATGGTCTCCTGAAAGGGAAACGTGTAAAGACGTGGCCGTCGTCCCAGTTTGGAAGCTACTGCTGAGGGACCGGAGCCCGTGGGACTTGGGCTGAGAGGGGATGAGGACAATATATTATTGAAAAAAATTGGAATTTTTGGCTTCTTTAAAATCTCCAAAGTCCTGCCTTGCAGAATGTAAAGCTCCATTACAAACCAAAGCTTTACGCAACGCGGAATTCAAGGGGGCTGAGTTTTGCACAGGTTGGGTGGAAGAGGAACAGCCAATAAGAACCGCTCAGAAGGTGTCTGTCGATGAATTGCAGCCTCAGTTTTGGACAAAGTCTGCTGAAAACTTTGCAGCGAATCGTTTGCCACGTCATTAGAAAATGACGTATTCCTTTTTTTTCTCCCAGCAATAACGACGACGAAGACCTGACACCGGAGCAGAAGGCCGAGAGGGAAAAGGAAAGGAGAATGGCCAACAACGCTCGGGAGCGCCTGCGCGTCCGCGACATCAACGAGGCTTTCAAGGAGTTGGGCCGGATGGTGCAGCTCCACCTGAAGAGCGACAAGCCCCAGACCAAACTCCTGATTTTACACCAGGCCGTGGCTGTCATCCTCAGCTTAGAGCAGCAAGTCAGAGGTCAGTGTTGCCACTACGGCTCCTTACGTTCCTCCTGGGCTTTGGCCACCCCAGAGACACCTTTCTGGGTTGGGGAAAGCCTGGGCATCTTCTTACATCCCTCCTGGGCTTTGGCCACCCCAAATGCACTTTTCTGGATTGAGGAAGGTCAGGGCTTATGTCACTCTTGGGCTTTGGCCACACTGGAGACACCTGTCTGAGTTGAGGAAGGTCTGGGCATCTCCTTATGTCACTCTTGGGCTTTGGCCACGCTGGAGACACCTTTCTGGGTTGGGGAAAGCCTGGGCATCTCCTTATGTCTCTCCTGGGCTTTGGCCACACTGGAGACACCTTTCTGGGTTGAGGAAGTTCTGGGCATCTCCTTATGTCACTCTTGGGCTTTGGCCACGCTGGAGACACCTTTCTGGGTTGGGGAAAGCCTGGGCATCTCCTTACATCCCTCCTGGGCTTTGGCCACCCCGAACACACTTTTCTGGGTTGAGGAAGGTCTGGGCATCACCTTATGTCTCTCCTGGGCTTTGGCCGCACTGGAGACACCTTTCTGGGTTGAGGAAGTTCTGGGCATCTCCTTATGTCACTCTTGGGCTTTGGCCACGCTGGAGACACCTTTCTGGGTTGGGGAAAGCCTGGGCATCTTCTTAGTGCCTCCTGGGCTTTGGCCACCCCGAATGCACTTTTCTGGGTTGAGGAAGGTCTGGGCATCACCTTATGTCACTCTTGGGCTTTGGCCACCCCAGAGACACCTTTCTGGGTTGTGGCCAAGGGCACCCAGTGCCAGGGAGAGAGGCAAGACCTGGCCCTTGGCACCCAGAGCCCACCAGGCACCTCCAAGCGTTGGGCTGGCGTGGGCCCTCATAGCCTGGGTGTATTTTAAGTCCTTTAGCAAGACACAAATTCAACATTCAGCTCGGCAGGACCGGCACAACTATCTGAATTAATTATTTTCGACGCCGGCGCGATGAACCAGACCACCGTGGTCTACAAAAAAAAAAAATGGTGACTCTTTGAAACAGCGTTTGTGCTTCAATCCAACAGAAAGGAACCTGAATCCGAAAGCGGCGTGTCTGAAAAGAAGGGAAGAAGAGAAAGTGTCTTCAGATCCTCCTCCGCTTTCCCTGGCGGGACCCCACCCTGGGATGGGAGATGCCTCCAATCACATGGGACAGATGTAAAAACAACACAAAAAAAACCTATAAAAGGCAAGTTGGTTTTCAGCCCTGCCCTGGGGAGCCTTCGGCCTCGCACCCACCGCCGTCACCCTCGGTCCAGCACCCAGGACAGACCGTTCCCCCCCAGGGTGCTGCTTACCCACCCCCTTATCGATTGATTTATCAATTGATTTATAAATTGTTTTATGCCCCATCCCTGGAAGTGTTCCAGGCCAGGTTGGATGAGGCTTTGGGCAACCTGGTGTAGTGGAGGGTGTCCCTGCCCATGGCAGGGGGGTTGGAACTAGATGGTCTTTGGGGTCCCTTCCAACCCAACCCATTCCATGATTCTATGATTTTTCGGGAGCACGCTTGGTTTCCGAGACAATTTTTGGGGTGGGGGAGTGCTGGAGGAGGGTTTAGGGCCATACACTGACTTCAACGTTGACTGATGGAGTCTTTTTTTCCTTCTTCCACAGGTCCAAGTTGCCACATTTCTTCATTTAAGCAAGAGACCACTTCTTTAACAGCTGTATTATCTTAAACCCACATAAACACTTCTCCTTAACCCCTTTTTTTTTGTAATATAAGACAAGTCTGAGTAGTTAAGAATCACAGACGCGAGAGATTTTCAGCATTCCCGATTATGAGAAGCGAGGAAAACAAACAAAACGAGAAAAAAAACCACAAAACAACCGCAAAAACCACAAAAAAAAAAAGTGCAACTTGAGGGACGACTCTCTTTAACATATCACGCAGAATGTCTAACGCAGTACGTTCCGAGCTGTGAGTGTGCAGCCCAGAGACTGAATGGCAATCTTCTCCACACTGTGGGACAATGCATTTGTGCCTAAACTTCTTTTGGAGAAAAAAACAAACAAACAAAAAAAAAAACAAATAGAAAAAAAAAAAACAAAACAAAAAACAAAAAAAAAGGAAAAAAATT